CTTCAGAAAGGATCCGCATCTCGCAGATTGCGTGGAAAAGCGCCGGCTTCAGGCCAGCAAATAAAGGCGACATTGGGAAAATTCGCATGCGAGCCCTGTCCCGCATCAGCCAAACTACGCGCGCTGCAAAGTTAATTCCACGCCCCCGAATACCACCACATTGCGTCTCAGGAGCATACTTGTTGAGGGAGCCGCGGGGCCGAATGGAGGCCAGAGCTCGGGCACGCTTGCCCATCTGTGGTCCGATGGCCACCCGGCGACTGCGTGGGCACTGATTAAGAGAACCTCGACTTTTGTAGAAATCAGCCAAACGTGAGCTTTGACCATTGGAGAGGTTCACAAATACATAACATGTACAGCATGATGAGGGGGAAGTATGTCCAAGCACTCGATCGGGCAAAATGCTTGAGAAGGGTCATTGGTGCACCGTCGGCTCCATTCGAACAAGTAGGGGTCGTCTTGAGAAGCTGTTGCTCGAACGCAGTCAAGGTCGGCAGTGCCTTGGCAGCTCCATCGTGCAAGCCAACGCGCAAGCTTCCTAAAGAGGCGTTGGACTCGCGAACAACTGGTAGCAGGCTGTGCGCAGGCAGTCGGAATCTAAGCTCCTGTTGAGCAAAGTGTTCTAGCCATCGATGCCGACAGGCCGTTGGGGTAGGAGCTGGGCCCCCTAAGTCGAACATAACTTGCGCCGATTGGTTGGCGGGCTTCCTTTTGGCCGAGCCAATTCCAAGACCGCGTAGCTGCACATGCTCATGGTGGAGCTGCGTCACTACAAACGAGTCCTTGACGATGGCTGAGACAGTTTCCAGTTTGGCGATTTTGTTAATTTGGTAAGAACAGCTGATCAAACGTGTCGTTATACATATATATATATATATATATATATATATATGTGTGTAATGTTGCTCGAGGGTGCCTTCGTCAGATACCTCCAGGGCGTGAACTCCCTCAAGGGATCGCTCGCATTGTCATGCGTGCTGGGGCCGTCGCAGCGTCGCAGCAGCCGGTGCCATAATGGCAGGGGGTTCCCAGTCAGGAACATTTGGAGGCTTTCGTCCAGAAGGAAAAGGAAAGTGACGAGCAGCACCATCTTGGAGAACTTCCTCTTGCGCGCGAGAGTCATGGATGCCCTCCAGAGATGAAGTCGGCAACAAAGCCCATTGAGAGCGTTGCCGCCCGAGCGAAGACGCAGGGGGCCCCAGATGCCACAGTGGCCCTCGCTGGGGATGTCCGCCCATGCTCGGAACACAGTCTGAAGGAGCGCTTTGGGAGCCCGTCGAGTCAAGAAATGAGAGAGTCCTCTGCGGTGCTTCCTGAGCTCTTACAACTAGAGGGTCCTTTTACTCACCCAGTCCTGCGCGCTTGGGATTATGTTGCTGGAGGTGCTGCCGAGCAAAGTCAGCAATCTGCTTGTCGAGTCGAACACAGTGGGCCGTCGCAGATTTCATCCATTTCGGCTCCTGACAGTCACCCGTGCGCTGCAGAAGATCTTCTCGCACTTCGGGACCCTGGAGACGCTCCACTCGCACGCGCACCTGAGGCCACTGGTATTCAGGAGCCCCGAGGGAGCCCATGGGAACCTCGATCTTCACATATGCAGGACCATAGTCTCCCACTGCGCTAGCTAGATCGAGCTGATGGTCAACACGGGCCGACTGCACCAAACTAAACCAGTCCAGCGGCACCAACACGTAATCCAGCAGTTACAGGCCTTTGAATTTGCTCACACAATTACCTCGAACATGTCCCATTAATGTTCGTCTCAACCGCCTCCACGTTGCCGGTGTGAGGGGGGCAAACGGGTCCAATTTCGGCATTACCATCGAGCAAGAAGATTGGCCGGATTCTTGGCTGCTGAAATGTCGAACCTAAACCTTGGGCTTCATTCCATGAACTTTCAACTGGGATTGGGTCCTTACGAGCGCCGTGAGAAGCATGAGCAGCAACCAGCAAAAGATGGAGGCCAGGCGCGTGAAACGAAGCGAAAGGTGGCGAGGGTCAGCATAGACTTGCGCCACGCGCTGCCTGTCGGGATTGACACCCGGGATCGGGAGACTGGTATTGATCCAGGTCGAAATTCCGCCCAAACCAGCTTCAGCACACTTGGCATCTAACATCGAAACATTACAGACCTTGGTACGCATCGCAGACTGCATCCTACTCTCCAAGACCCCCAGCAAAACAAAAAGAAACAAACAAACGTATAGAGTTGCTTCGGCAGCAGCGTAATACGCCCAGGAGCATTGAGCCCAAGAGCCCTTCGGGATTTGGAAGGCCCATGGGAGCTATGTCCTCGATTGTGCGGACACCGACGCCATCTCTTAGCTGGTAATCGGTCGGCGACACTTCAGAGACTCTCGCGGCGCTAGCCTCTGATCTTCGGGGTGCTTGCGGAGTGGTCGGAGTAAAGCCAGGCCCATGCCAGATTAGACGAGTCATTGAGAGGCGATGTAAGCGGCATACATTCCATGGAAGGGAGCAAGCCCATGCCTGCCAAGCGCGCAGGAGCATCGGCAAGCTCATTGTCCCCTTTCCTTGATGGCTGTGAACATGTTCCCCTGTGATCCGACATTGGTACGAGGGAAATTGCACTCGCGTCCTGAGGAAAACCAGGCCGGAATTCGAAACAGCATTCGTCGGGTTGCCATTTAGCACTCCGAGGGTCCTCATCGAGTCCAACTTGAGGGTCACCTGGGTGGATAAATCAAACTCGGCTTGAGCATTCCAGGCCAACGCCCAGTCTGCAGCGAGCACCTCAGCCGTGTCGGATGGGAAGGGGGTGGGGAAGAGGTTCATGATGTCTTACGGTACCATGCCGGCGATGTATCTTCTTGGGGCCCTGGACCCGTCAAAGTATTCAAAGATACTCACAACTTCCGAAGTTGGAACCACAGGAATCTCAGCTGCTTCACTGCCACCAGTTCCATCAGTATGCATCAGAACACGCGCGTGGAGGAAGAAGAGGGAGACATGCTGTTGTAGCACCTCCGAGGCATATGGGTGCAAGTATTCAGAGAGAGAGAGAGAGAGCGAGAGAGAGAGAGAGCACTTACACACCACACAACATCGGAACGTGGACTGGCCATGGCCGTAGAAGGGATTCTACAGATGCTTGAACGGAAAAGAAATCAACATGTCGGACAGAAGCTGCGGTTGTGTCAGGCCGCTGCGCGCACTGAGCACCCTCGGAAAAAGGCAACACAAGGGGGCAACATCGGGCAGAGCAGCGGACGTCAGGCTAAAGGGCGCCCAGCTGAGCGCGCACGGCTCTTCGACCGGGCCCATCCGTCTGTCGCCTCGTCCACATGGGGATCCCCCAAGCGCATGGGCGAGTGTCTCGTGGAGCGTTCCCTGAGGCCCCCATCTCCCGCGCCAGGCCCCGCCGCTGCTGCTCCCGCTGGTTGCGAGGGCTGCTGCCGGGGTCCATGCCGTCCGGGAGGCGGCACTTGCTGTATTCCAGTGGTGGCACCTCCTGCTCAGGCTCTGGCGCGAGGGGCGGCGCTCGCTGCCCGGGCCGAAGAGACGGGCGCTCGGGGCTGGCCGCCCGCCGGCGAAGGCGGCTCACGGAGCAGGAACCTCTGGGCGGCTCTGGCCTCCGCCCGCCCGGAGCGCCGGGGGCTGTGGAGGGCGCCCCGCGGGCCCCGGAGCTGGGCCAGCGTGGCCGCAGTCGTCTGCTGGCGGGCCGCCAGCGCGCCGAGGGCGGAGCTCGGGGCGCCCCCCTGACGCCTGCCCCGGCCCCAGCCTCCGGGGGGGCCGCCGCCGCTGCGGGCACCGCGAGCGCCGCTGCCACGGGTTCGTCGGGCCCGCGCGCTGCTGCCTCGGCCGCCGCCGTCGCACGGGCTGCTGCCGCTGTCTGCTCCTCCTCGGCCTTCATCAGCTCCTTGATCTCGTTGCTCGCCTGGCCCATGTGGCCGAGTCGCGCTCGGCTCTCTCGACGTCCTCCCTCGCCTGCTTCATCTGGGAGTTCAACTCGTCGACCGCCTCGTTCGCCTTGACCAGGCGCTTCTTCTCGGCCCTCTCGCAGGCTTCCTGCTGCTTTCTCAGCTGCGTCTTCAAGCCACGAGAGCCGAACAGCATGGTCAGCGTGGTCGAGACCTCCAGGGCTGCATTGGAATGGTCCTTTGCAGCATCGTATCGGTTCAGGACGATCGTGTTCATTGCCTCCACTTTCGCAGAGACTTGTTCCATTGCAGCTCTCGATCTCGACCTCTGAGGCCGATGAGGACGGTGGTGGTCTCCACCGAGAGTGCTGTCGCGCAACACTCGGCAAAGCAGGTTGGAGATCCAGCGGGTCCGTGGCCGAACGATGCTCGTCCTCTTGCACCTCATTCGTTTTCTTCTCCTCATCCTTGCTCTCTTTTTCCTTGGGCTTCTCCTTGGGTTTCGGCTTGGCTGGCACATCTTGTAGTGCCAGCGACTCGCGGCCCTTACCACGGGTCTTTGCAACAGGGCTGGACCTAAACGCTGGCTTGCTGGACGTCGGCTGTGGCTTGTTTTTCGCTCTGGCAGGGAGGTGCAGGAGCTCAGGTAGAGCAACACGAGACCCACAACGACAACAGAACGAACAACAACGCTTAGGTCCAGCCCTGCTTTGCACCACGAGCAGGCTGACGTGCACGCTCTGGCGGCGCCTTGACCGTCGGCTTCTGGGAGCCACGGTGTCGGCAGTCGACACGAGCGCCCCAGGTCCTGCAGTTGGCACCCCGGACAAGAATAGGATAGGTACTTGGCACCCGCTCCCAAGCCCCTGGAGCTGGGAAGGCGGCTTCTAGGAGGAGGAGGAGGAGGAGGGGGAGGAGGAAGAGGAGGGGGAGGAGGAGGGGGAGGAGGAGGAGGAGGAGGAGGAGGGGGAGGAGGGGGGAGGAGGAGGAGGAGGAGGAGGAGGAGGAGGAGGAGGAGGAGGAGGAGGAGGAGGAGGAGGAGGAGGAGGAGGAGGAGGAGGAGGAGGAGGAGGAGGAAGAGGTGGACGAGTGAAAGGAGTAGGCATTGCCTCGCCGCAGGTGCACTACTTCTGGGTCGGTGCCATCGAATTCTTCGCAAGCCTGCGGAACTCCTGCACCCAGCTCAGCAAGGAGGCAGGCCTGGAGCCTTTCGCTCGGTGCGAGGAGGGGGAGGAGAAATAATGACGAGGAAAGATAATATGGCGAAGAGGAAGACGAGGACGAGGAGAAAGGAGGATGGAGGTGAGGAATTGGAGGCGGATATGGAGGAGGATGAAGGTGAGGAGGAGGAAGATGGTGATGATGATGAGGAGGAGGAAGAGGAAGGTCAGAAGGGGGACGAGGTCAGAGGCCCACTGAGCAGGCATGTGGGTGGGGTGTAGGATTTCGTGCAGATTGGCGGCAGTACCGGCCAAGGGGGGCGATGATCTGTTTCCTTCCTGCTGGCACGAAGGGGGATTTTAATTTCACCAGCTACACGACGATAAAGTCGTGGAGGAGGAGGAGGAGCAGGAGCATGTGCAAAGGACGCCTACATTAACAACGACTCTAGAAGAGCATGGGCTGACATCAAAAGGCTCCTGAGGTATGGAGGCAGACCAGGGCGCACCACAGCTGAACACCTACACGTCAGTGGCCCTGACGGTCAACTTCTTCATGATCAACAGCACCAGACGGAAGCAGAGCTTGACCTTTTCGCCATCGCAAAGCACCCGAAAATCATGAGCCCGCAAGACATCGCCGACACGCACAACCACCACGCCAACCACGAAGCCATCTCCGAACGCTGTACGACACACCGCTCCACGACATCATAACCAAAGAAAAGACGAAGCGCCAGTTCACGCAGGCGAAGCAAGGAAGGAACGGCGGCCCTGACAACCTCATCTATGACTACTGCACGACCGCGTCAATGCCACCCATTCCTAGTATAGGCGCACATGGCGACGGTGGAATCAATCTCCTACAAAGGAGGATGGCAAACGTCACTCTCTAAGCCCAACGCTGCCGAACCAGACCTACAAGCGAGACGGATGATACTGCCCAACAGCATCATAGCTAAGCGCCACCACCGCTTCCTACGTACCCGACTCAAGAATACGGCGCAATTATTACGAGACGCACAATGTGGCGCGCGACCACATCAGTCCACCGACTTTGTCACACATGCGACCCCCGGCGTCATGGACCACCTCAGAGAGAGAGAGGGAGAGGCGAGTCAGTTATGATCCTCTACTTGGACTTCAAGGGCGCCTTCTACAGAGTCGTGCTGCATTATGTCTTCCAGCTCCCACACACACCAGAGGAGTTCAACGACCGGCTACACGACACCAACATACCCGAACCATTCCATCCCGCACTTCAGATGGCTATGGAAGGAGTGCCTATATTCAACCACGGCGTGGACGATGAGCACCCCTACTACAAGACGCGCACGCAGACATGTGGTCCACCACCAAAGTATCCACCAGGACGGCGCAGCCTCGCATTGGCACCCGGCCTGGACTACTAGCGTCAGACCTCGCCGTCACTTGCCCCTTCGCAAAGGTTACGCGACATATCGCGGGGGACATGATCGACAGCACTTTGCGCATCGACATCGACACAGGACACCAGGAATACATCTTCTCCAAGAGCAGACGTGCAAGAGACGGCGAGGACGGAGGAGCACAACTTATTGACACCTCTTCGTGGACGACGTGGATGCCCACGCCCGCATGCGACACAGCGCGCCACCTGAGATTATCAGCACGGCGAAGACGCTCTCCAACACCGTAGTCAAATTGACCATGGCCCACGGCATGCGGCTCCACGCCAGAAAGACCACGTTGCTCGGCGCGGGCGCCAAAATAGAACAGCCAAGGAGCAACTTGCCAGAAACAACATCGCACACATCGAGAATAAGCACCTCAGCGAGCCAACCGATTTTGCCGATCACCAGATATCGCCAGGCACTGCAACATACGACGGAGGACAAGGACCAGAAACCCAGCGGATAATTTCTAAGGTTGCAGCGAGCAGAGCCCCGCGGCGCAAGCAGGTCCACAAGCGAAAACAGCTGAGGATCGACAGGAAGACTCGGCCCCATTCTACAACTCGAATAGCTGGAACCCTCTCAACCAGGGGCAGCTTCGGACCATTGAGACCGAATGCCTGAAAAGATACAGGATGGCAGCTGGATGCAGGGCCCACAACCACGACGGCCAGCATATTAACAACGGCAAAGAACTTACCGAGGTAGAAGGACCAGGGTCGCACATCGCCACGCGCATCTTCAGGCTGTGATATCTACCGAGACTCCTAAACATGCCCCGAACATACTAGTGCGAAGTACCGAAGCCAACCTCAGCCGCAATTCGTCATCGGGGCACATGTTATGCGACGACAGACAGTGGATGTGGACATACCTCGACGACAAGCACAAGCTGCGCCCCACCGTGGACCTCGACCCCGCCCCCAGCTCGATCCACAGGGCGCCTCAAGTCTTCACTTCACAGGCCAAAGCGGCGACGCAACGCCACATGCGACGCTACCGAGGCCAAGAGCACCTACGACAATAGCACAACAGCCTGCGACCTCACCAAAGCAACGACCTCGCCCCACAATCCATGACCGACAACGACCACAACGACTACGCGATCATGTGCTACGAGTGTAGCGCCACCTTCACAGAGATGAGCGCCTCCTACGTCCGCGTGGAACAAAATCCGCCCGACAGATGACCGCCCGGCCAGATGCGCCCACGGAGCGAGATGCTTGACGTGCACCAGCGAATGCCACGCACTTGGACGACTCGTCAAACACCAACTCGCGTGCACTGCGCGAGCAGCACCACGGAAGCGAGACGCAGACGGGCGCGACGAGGCAATCGCAGCAACGAGCAGAGGAGCCATTCGCGACGAGCAAAGCGTCAACATTAAGACTGGACTACATCCGCTCCACGCCCGCATCGCCAGCTACAAGACGGACATACCGCCGTTGAACGTCAAGGACCACGGCGTTGCAGGAGAGATGCCCGTACCTGCCACAGCACCAGTGGATGCGAGACCCGGCCCTGCGCCCGAGGAGCCCAGATACACGTTATCCCACGCAGCGGACGCAGGCGCAGACGCGACGCGCAACACTGGGTAGAGAACTCCAGTTCCAACGGCGACGGCATTATAGCACTCTCAATGGGCATCGCCCACGACGAGATCAAGGGGAGCCTCGCGAGATGGGGCGCCATGCAGTTCTGGAGAGACCAGCTCCCGCGCGGTCGCGCCGCCGCGATCGTAGCTGGACCACCTTGCGAGACATGGGGCGGGCACCAGCCGCGACCTCGGGGGGGGCCGACAACAGCCCTGGGGGCCGCGGCATCTGTCACTACGGCAGCCCGATCCACTACACAACGGCAACCAGCTATTGCGCACCACCGTCCTCATCGCATACATATGCACCAACGCGAAGGCCCCCATGACCATGGAGCGCCCCGCCACAGTCAACGACGAGAGACACAGCAAGCTGCTGGCGACTACCAGAGCTAACGCACCTGAGTGGGTTTGACGGGGTGGGTGCCAATGCGTGGATGGACGGACAGCCGTGGCACCTACTACACCCCCCCCCATAGTACATGTACCAGAAATACGACGGGCGATAACACTACTATCCAAAAAAACGGAAGATCTAACGATGGCATAGGCGTCCGCCACCTTCTCAGCGGGGGGGGGGCCGACGGCTCGTGGGAGAGCTCCACCGCCAAGACGCACGCCGCCGAGGTGCGTTGACTACTTGCTCACGCCATGATAGACGCCATCCGCCACAGATGGACAAAACCGCGAGGCCGCGAGAACTGGGGCGTGGAAGGCGGCTTTGCGGAGTTATATATCCCGTTGGACCCGTGCTACGACGCCATGCTTAACTCTCACAGGCGGCAATGAAGCACAGCAGGATGATCCCGACGGGCGGTGGCCACCCCGCGATGCGGACCATTGCGGTCCATTGCTTAGGATACAGGCTGCTACCTTAGCATTTATTCTGGCACGCCTCACCGCGGCGCCCGGTCGCCCGCCCTGCTAGTAAGATGCCACCCTTCAATCCGTCACCAGCAAACAGCAACCCACATATCACCAAACGTTGGCCGGCCTCGGCTCAAGAAGTTAGCCCGAGCTGACCAGCGCGCCCTTGGCGCGCCTCATTGCCAAGCGCAGCGCACCGCGCAGCCCCCGCTGGATCTCCGCCCCCAGCGGATCACCCTACCTCAAGAAGATCAAGACGAATACAGTTGAGTACCCGTAGAAGTCTTGGGCAAGCTACCGAAGTTCATCGACTCCAATGTGGTCAAGTTCTGCTGCGCCAACGGAGTTAAGGACCTCGACCACGCTAACGAACAACGGGCCGCAGCCATTTCACGCAGCCCCACGTAAGACGCGGGGCGTGGCCCCGCCAGAGTACCAACAAGAGGGGATGCCTACCCTCGTGTCCAACAGCAAGGGCTGCTAGAGCAAGAATGCGCTCGTCTACACTCCAGGAGACCCCCGAGCCGAACCACAAGAAGCTACTGCGTGCTCGCGCATTGCAAGGCCATCGCAAGGAATCAACGCATCCGACGCCCTCGCGCGCCACTATACGCACGTCTACCTCGACCTGGGCCACATATGCGCCCCCGCCGCAGCGAGGGGCAGGTTCGTGCGAAACACTTACCGCTACCGCATCGACATCGCCTACTTCGCCGCAACGGGGGAATGCTGGAAGGACACGGTCGAGGAGAGTTGGAGCACCGTTTACGACAATTTTCTCGTCCACTCCAACAGCGAGATGTGAACCGACACAGACCATTGGATGGGCAGACCTGCCAACTGCCCGCGCGACCGCTCCGCCACAACGCACCGCGCATCAGGAGACGCCGCTAGCGACCGCGGCTCCATGAAGGCACCCGTCCACAGCTTGGAACGACAAGACATCCTACCTTTCGCAAGCGCCGACCCGCCGCAGCTAAAAGCAACGCCGTGGAAGAACAAGGACGAGGAGCTGTTCACCAATCTACAGACCCCACACATCTTCAAAAAGAAGGACATGGAGAAGTGCCGCAACTTCGAGGAGATAGAACGCAAAACCATCCACAGCAACACCGAGCGATACAACCAGAAGGTCTACATCGCGGCGGTCACCGACATCTACGGCACCTTGCATCCGACCTCCGAGATAGGGATGCCATCGGCATGCGCAAGAGACAGCATTGAACCCCGCCGAGGAGGAGCACTACACCCATATACTGACAACTACGTCTTACCCATCGATCGCCACCGCATTACGCCACAAACAATTAGGTGGACTACATTGTGACGGGACGGACCCTAGAGGACAACGGGTACCAGTATATCCATGCCACCAACGGGGCACCACGCTGCTACTGGCATCGACAGGGACACGCCGCGCGCCACCACTACCAACGAAGGAAATCGACCACGTGACGATCCTGAGGCTGAGCGCGCCAATCAGTGACCTGCCCAAGCGGCCCGCCATCATCGACAACGCTCTCATCAGCTACCCAACGCAAGTTCTGCAGGGGGCCACGACTATTTCGGAGACATGCGCAACGAGAATCGACGGGACGACAAACGTCCACACTGAGGCCACCAGGCGGGATAACATCGTCCACAACGCGGGGTCCACCCCCGATGGGGATGCCCCCACAGACGAGACAGCGACCCGACTACGAAGCACCAGAGTACAAGCAACATGTTGAGATCATACTTGGCGGCATCATGCCGATAGAGGTTACCGACATCGACCAGCTATCCGACCATGAGGCCCACAAAGCAAGGCAGTATCCCATCGGCGACGAGGAGGGCGACAGCACACGACACCTGTTTCACTATTGCCACAGGCTGCGCAACGAAGGCCTTCAGCCCATCAACTGGGCCCACAACTTCCCCGATTGGCGCGCGGCTCCCCCTGGGGCTCGAGCACAACAAGTACAACGCCCAGCGCGCGCGACTACTACGCGCACCGACATACAGCTCACCCGGCGAAGATCCACTCCACAACTCCGCCAAAACATGCCAATTATATTGCGCCGAACGTCCTCCAGCTCATGCGCCAGCAGACCAACGCCCCGACCCCTAACCAGTCGCCCCGACCGCCTGGCCCACCCCCATGCAGAACCCCCATGCAAATTACAACAAAAACGCCAGGGGCCAACCGAGGCTTCCGCAGCCCATGCGACCCGCCAACGTATAAGCAAGGCGACACTCTCCCACCCGACCCATCTCACCATGGGAGGTTACCATATGGCCGGACCGCGCACGCTGGCGCAACGAGAAGCCTCGCCTATTACCACAATAAGGACACAGGCACCACTCAGTGGGAGTTCCCAGGCGTCCCCAGCTACGAACCATGCTGTGCTCGGCAGCTCACCGACCAGAACATCGAGGCCTTCAGCATCACTTGGGACGGCTGCTTCTACCACAGCCTGAACCCGATGCACCCCCATTCCCCACCGACTGCCCCCCCAAAACGCCAGAACACCAAGCCAGGCGCGAGCAGGTTGACAAAGCCAGGACACTTACGATCCACGACCTACTCGAAAAGATGTGGGCCAACTACCTACGTGGCCCAGGCTTCCACGAATGGGTCGACCAGGCACGCCTATGTTACAGCGAGCAAGTACAAGGCTGGCTCTTCTCCCACCTCAAGCTGATCCAAGACACCAAGCCCTTCATCATGTTCGGCGACAACTTGCTCGTGGTCGCACCTATACGCGAGATGGGCCCACACCCTCCAGCGCATGCCACGCTCTTCATCGCAGGAAGCAAATACGCAGCCCGAAACCCACATTTGCACCATGCGACGACCACAGCATCTTCGAGCGCGAGAACCACATCGAGATGCCCCCCAAGCGGGAACCGACTTCAGAGGCAGGAGCCACCCACAAAGAGCAAACTACACCGACGACCGCAACCGAAAATACAGCCCAAATGGCTCGCGCGACCATGCCTTCCAGCAGCGGCAGTACAACGACCAGCACAATGCCAGCAACCACCCCCTCGCCCGCGACATTCAGCCCAGCTCACCAAGTCTCTCCTCGAAGCACGCCAGGCCCAGACCCTCAGCCAGTAAGATGCAAAGCCCCACCCACCAGACCGATTTTCAAATAATATTAGACATCGCAAGCAAAAGACAAGGCCGACTGCGACGATGCGAGCACACGGCTGGGAGCATCCACGGCAGGGTAACAACGCACGCACACTATTGCATCCAGCACTTGCGACCCGACGGCAAGCATCAATACTCATATCGCAAACGACAGCCAACCTCCTCCGATACAAGTGGAGCCCCGGAAGCCCGCTGAATGGTTCCAAGTCACGACGGCCACCGAGGAGAAGGTAAACCCCGACGCGATCACCTTCCCTATGGGAGCCACCATGCGCTACCCTTACCACGCCAAGCTAGCGGACTCCCTTGTCCGCGGCACCATCACTGACGACGAGGGCGATGAGGTCACAATGCTCAACATGTCCTTCACCCGCAAGAACGAGCTCTGAGCACACGGTACCACGACTCAACCCGCAACATGCGAAGCAGCAACCAGGCCCTGATTGCCGACACCATCATCGAGCACCGCGTCCACTACCACGACATCCTGGACAAGCTCAACACCCTCGCCACGATGGCAGGGAAACTACAGGTCAGCTACAACACGGTCGTGGACAATCAGGGGGAGACCACTTCGGCCAACGATTTCAGAATCCAGTTCCTCGACAAGCCCAACGACGACGACACCCGACTACGCCCCTAACCACTGGCGATTGCCATCCTCGCCACTGTGCGAAGCCGCGCGAGGTGCCAGCGCGCCCGTAGCCATTTTGGATCAAGTCCTGGCCCAAGTCAATGGCCCCGTCGCGGGGCGTGCATCCGTGGCCCCGTGGCTCGGCGCGCGGGCATGACCTCGCTGCCTTCCGCCGCCCGCCGCGGCTGGCCCCGGCTGCTGCGCGCGGGGCCGGGCGGCGCGCCAAAGGACGAAGGCTCCGCCCACCGCCGCGACAACGGCAGCGACGGCACCCACCAGAGCTCCGGCCTTCGGAGGCCCAGACACGCCCACACCAGGGTACCATGACCGACTCCAGCTGCCCGGGATCCCTCACCACGCCCTCGTCCACTACACGGTCCGACTGCACCACCCTGCACCGCGACCCCGCATACGGTTCACACACGCAGCAGGCTACGCCCGCCTGACGCGCATCCCCGACGACGCCGAGCTGATTCAGCACGCCGTGGACCAGCAGGTGCCTTGCACACCCGCCGGCGCCAGCCTGACCGACCGCTGGGCCAACTGGCATGCATGAGCAGAGCAGACCCTCAAGGAGGGCGTCCGGCTCGGCTGGGTTTACATCACACGCTCGGGGAGAGGGCGAAGGGCACCTTCCCCAAGATGCGACCGACTGCCACGCCCTCATCTTTCCGACCTCCACAGACGGTCGCCCACCGACGTCTACTTCGGTTCCAACGTCGCTTTGCCGAGGTGCTTCGACGCGACCCGCGTCCGCAGTACCTCTCACCACGCAACTTGGACTGCTGCGCTCGCTTGGGTCTGGGCGGCCACATCCAGCTCGCCGACGGCGCTCCCACCTACAACGACGCCATCGTGGCCCTTACGTCAGGGATCAACGAGTGCGAGCGGCTGGCTGCCAAGGACGCTGCCGCCCGCTGGCGCGCCAAGTTCGCTGAGTGGTCAACGTCGCTCTGGACCACCACCACGCCCATGTTCAGGGACACTCCACCAGCAGCGTGCCAAGACGTCGGCACTTTCAGGCAAACGTGGCAGCAGCAGTGGGGCCCACCCAACCACGACGCCGACGGCCACCTCCAGCGCTGGCGCTCCTGGGCGGCAAACATCGCTTTCCCACGCTCCGGCCAGGCAACCGACTGGCTGCCCAACTACCACGTCTTCGACAACGCGGTCCAACGCTCCAAGGGTGCGGCTGGCTTCGACGGCTGGGCGGGCGCGGAGCTCCGTCTCGTCGCCAGGCTGGCCCCGGAGATCATGCGCGAGCTCTGCAACTTGCGGTGCAACACCACCCGCGAGATAGCCACCGACGGCATCAACGATACCGCGGCCATGCAGCTGTTCAGTTGGAAGATCGCGGGCATTCCGAAGAATGAGGACGACTCGAGGCCCATCGCCGTGGGCTCCTGCATCCTGCGCCTTTGGCCGTCCGCCCTCGCAGGGGCAGCCCCCGAGCCGCCGACCCACCAGTGGTCGCGCCGACGTGCCACCAGCGCCACCCACGCCATCTCGTCGCGGCTCCACTCCTGCACTCTCAGCGGGGCGGGCTCGGAACACGACTTGTCCAAGGCGCGCGACAACATCGACTTCGCCATCGCGGAGGACGCTTTCGAGCGGCAGGGCATGCCGCCACACAACACTCGACTGTGCATGGCGGCGTGGCGCGCCCCACGGTTCTGCACGATGGGAGGCAAGCTCAGCCGGCCGATCTGGCCGAAGCGCGGGCTCCCCCAGGGCGACAGCCTCGCCCCGAATGCTATGGTCGGCGCCCTTGCGCCGTGGGCGCCCGACTCCGGCCTGGCGTGCATGGGCGACCGGGGCCTGACGGCCACCGACGCGGTTGCCCTCGCGGCTGACGTCGCCATGACCACGAGTTTCGACAACGACGTCGGCTTCACGGAGAACGCCAGCAAACGGCAGACCTGGAGCGTCGGCGACGACCCGCCCAAGCGCTCCGAGCACCTCGGCCTCGCGGCCGTCCCCGCGAACCCCTTCTGCGCCCATCCTGCCGCGAAAGGGCTGGGCAAAGATCGAGAACGGCATCGGTATTCTGCACGGCCTCCCGGGCAGTTTCGCGGTGCGCATCGTTCTTGCCATCGCTTACATCCGGCCACGCTGGACCTGGGCGGCGCCGCTGCTGACCCCTGTCCCGGCGGACAACACCAAGCGCTTGTTCCGGGCCTTGCTCAATGCACGCTGCACTTGGTGGTGCCGCGGCCGTTTCTGGGCCCTTCACACCAATATGCACCCGCAGTACTCGCAGGCTCTCCAGCGCCTCCTCGCCGTCTCCCACTCCAAGCTGGTCTGGGGCGACTTCGTTCAGAACGCCATCACGGCGCACGCCGCGTCCTTGGGCCTGACGTTCATCACGCACAGCGACGACGCCCGCGGCGCGCAGCTCGAGGCGCCCCCCACCGACGACCGCCGCGTCCTGCAGGTGGCGCGACAGGTCCGCGGCGCTAGCTCCCAGCGCTTCTGGACCACCCACAAGAAGGCCGCCCGCGCCCTGCGCGTGGTCGCGCGCGCCCGCTGCCTCCAGCAGGTGCGACAGACCCGGCTCGACAGCGAGGACGTTGACAACGTCGACGTCGACGCGTCGTCGCACCGCTTCTTCGCGAGATGGTATTCCAAGCTGGACGACAACGACAAGAAGCTTCTCACCATCTACCGCAGTGGTGCAGCGTCTACATCCACGCGCCGGCAGTGCCCGCACCCGTGCAAGCACTGCAACCACGCCCAGCCGTCTTTCCGGCACTTGTGGCAGGAATGCCCCGAGTGTGCACACGAACGCCGTCATTTGGAGGGGAAGTTATCCCTCCCACACTATTTCTGGGCGTCGCAGCCCCGAGTGACGAGCAAATCCGGGTGGATCACCTATCAGGCGGGTCCGTCGCCTATGACGCGTGCGAGGTACTTGGCGGCGACGTGCGAGCTGTCGCTCTGCGCCCTTCGTCGGGGATTTCGCGGCGAAGCAGGCATCCTCCACCCGCTCGAAATCGAGGGGTTGCCTGAGGATCTTCCAGTGGGTCAACTCCAGTGAGCGCGCCCGACGCCAAGCGCAGGTACTACCACCCCCCCCACCCACACACCCAATACAGGTCATGCGCGACTACCTTTCCCGGCATCTACCTAGGACAGGCAGGGCATGTTCCACCCCTCCGACCTTGTAGGCTCCATCTTCTTCTTCGATCGCCGCGCCAACATGCACTTCGGATGCGCCGACTGGCCATGCGGACCGACCGCTCCTCCGACCTCGCTTTCTCCATCTACTACGGTATCCGCGTGGACATATACCTCGGAGGAATATGCAGGCTATGCTCAGCAACCACCTCTCCGACCTCGCCTACCCCATATACCCCGATTTCCGCGACGACCTCCGCCTCTGAGGTAGATTGGCATCGGCACGGAGACCGCGCGGAGGAACGGGCGGTGGCTGGGGGTGTCATGGGGAGGAGGAGGAGGAGGAGGAGGAGGAGGAGGAGGAGGAGGAGGAGGAGGAGGAGGAGGAGGAGGAGAAGGAGGATGAGGAGCGGCCACCCCCGAGCAGCACTCCCGAGCGCGGCTACAGCGATGCCCGCGCACCTCTTTGCATCGCCGTGCTCTGCCGTAGCTTCACTACCATGGCTTATGCTTTGTTGCAGCCGCGCCCGCCAAACCCTCGCTCGCCAACTAGCGCCCGACGCACGTTATTCTCGAGTGCAACCGCGGCGACGCCCTCTCACCTCTGCGCCTCAACCGTGTTTTCGCAGCTGCACCATCGCTCTCACATCGCCTCTTTATCCCACTCTTGCTCTGAAGCCGCTGTACCCGCCAACCCCTTGCCGCCAACTGCAGCGGCGCCCGAGGGCCACAGCGGCGCTCGCTCACCTCTTTGCCTCAACCGTGCTTTCTCGCAGCTGCGCCATCATAGGTGTCACATCGATGGGGGGTGGGGGTGGTGCGTGGGTGGGATGGGCGAGGGCGGATGTCACGGCAGGCCGCCTGGGAGGTTGAACCTACCCCAAAAGAGCAAGTTAATTGCAGCACCTCCCTCTTTTTTTTCAATGTGTATATATAATTAAATTATATATATACAAAAAAACGCGGCCCTCGGTCTCTTACCCCCAAAAGCGAGTCACTGCGGCTACCCCCTGGCGGTTTTTACAAGCGAAGGCACGCCCTTCACCGTGACCCTCATTTTCTGCCCCGCTCGCAACCTCTCCATGTCAACCTTGCGCTCACATGCTCCCGTTATCTCAGCCCTGCTTTGTCGCAGGCGCGGTCGCCAACCACTCGCTCGCCAAGTGCAGCGGCGCCCGAGGCGTGGCATTCTCGAGCGCGGCCACAGCGATTCCCGTCCACCTCTGTACCTCAACCGCGCTCATCCTTGGTCGCAGCTGCACCCGCCAAACCCTCGCTCGCCTACTACAGTGGCGCCCGAGGCATGGCATTCTCGAGTGCGGCCACAGTGATGCCTGCCCACCTTTCTGCCTCAACCGCGCGTTGTTCCAGCTGCACCATCCAGCTCTCGCATCGGACGGGGGAGGTCGACGGATGGTTGGAGGAGGAGGAGGAGGAGGAGGAGGAGGAGGAGGAGGAGGAGGAGGAGGAGGAGCAACCGTGGCACTCTCGAGTGCGGCAACAGCGGTGCCTTCTCACCTCTTTGCCTCAACCGTGCTCTGCCGTAGCTGCACTGTCATAGCTCAGCCTTGCTTTGTCGCAGCCGCGCCCGCCAAACCCTCGTTCGCCAACTGCAATGGCGCCCGAGGCGTGGCTTTCTCGAGAACGGCCACAGCGGCGCTCGCTCACCTCTTTGCCCCAACCGTTTACTTACAGTGTTCCATGCCTTCTCACCTCTTTGTCTCAACCGTGCTCTGTCGTAGCTGCATTGTCATAGCTCAACCTTGCTGTGGCAGCCGCGGTTGCCAACCCCTCTCTCGCCAAGTGCAGCGGCGCCCGAGGCGTGGCATTCTCGAGCGCGGCCACAGCGATTCCCGCTCCCTTTTTTTCCTCAACTGCGCTCATCCTTGGTCGCATCTGCACCCGCCAAAACCTCGCTCGCCTTCTACAGGGGCACCCGAGGCATGGCATTCTCGGGTGCGGCCACAGCGACGCCCGTTCACCTCTTTGCCTCAACCGTGCTTTCTCGCAGCTACACCACCATAGCTCTCACAGCAGGGCAGCGACCGCTTTTCTTTATATCAAGGCCCCATCTTTTGACCCACCCCTCTAGCGACCCCCCATATCATTCCACCGACGTCTCTCTGTCCTGCGATCCCGCGCTCATATGGGATGGCGCTCGAGGGGTTCGGTGAATAGCCGGGACCTCTCCATCGTCTCCCCCGCTTCGTCGTGCGTGGTTACCCCCCCTGTTCCTCCCGCATCGTCCCCCATCCGCGTTTCTCCCTCGCCTCCTGTGGTGGCCCCCTTCGGGTAGTGGCGCCACCTTTCAAAACCGGCCCTGCCTCCCTGTTTGGGGGGGCAAGGCTGGGAACGGCTTCGGGTAATCCCACATCAGCCGCGAGCAGCAGCAGCAGCAGGAGCACGTAGAGGCAGAAGAGGAAGAGGAGGTAAACGTGGATCAGGACGAGGACGAGGACGAGGACGAGGACGAAGGGGACGACGAGGCCCCTGACGTGGATATTAAGTTTTGCTGCCGCCCCAGATCTTGACCCTGGGACGGCCCTGGACGTTCCCAGAGGCTCGAGGTCCAGAGGGAACACAAAAGCCTCCAGAGGGAAGAGAGACGGGCAGAGAGGGGAGGAAGGAAGGAAGGAGAGAGGGATGACGTGGAGGCAGGGTGATCCAGGAGGGGGAAAAAAAAGGAGGGAAGAAGTGGAAGCAGGAGACGGGAGGAGGGGGCGCCGGCCCGTCGACCCGCAGGTGGCGTTGAGATGCGACGGCATGGACTACGAGCTCGGCCGCCACGTGAAGGCCACTCTTTGGGGGGGGGGCCGCCCGTTCGCCGGTCGTGGGCACCGACGCGCTTCTGTTATCCCGGCGGAGGAGCTCTTGCTCGGAGCCCGACGTCTTTCTTTGTTGAGTTGACGTTGTTGGGCTGTGCTCCTGCCCTGGGCCATTGGAGGACCATCCAGGGGGACTGAGCAGCCCCAAGAGGAAGGGATCGGGAGCTAATGTTCCCGTGCGTTGAGCTCCGTCTCCATCCTCTTCATTTTCATCCTAGCCTTCCTCGTATTTCTCGTCCGCCTCCTCCTTCTTGCTCAGGACCGCTCAAACGCTCACAGGCAATGGTCGCAGCAGAACGCAAATGCGCGCTTGTCCCCGTTACTGGTTCCGACGGCACATGCCAGATGCCAAGAAACAAATCGCCAGCCGCCAACCGCCAGAAAACGCGAGTGCAAACGCGAACGCGTGCTTTGGGGACGATTTCGAGGGCTGGTTTGCGCTGCGCATCCCTTGCCTCTCTCGCCCCCGACGTCAGGTGCAAAGGCCAGCATGCCGGCGCAGGGTGCTCGATTGGCACTTGGTTGCAGGATGGTGCTGGGCATCCGTGGAAGCCGGCCCGTCGGCGCGTGTGGTGCAACCAAGAGCAGGAGCGCGGTCTGCAGCCATGCGCTTCTGGGTGAGAGAGGGGCTATCGAGTGCAAAGATCGGGTGCCTGCTTCCCTGCGCGTCGTCACGCCAGGCGTGCGTGGAGGGGCTAGGGGGCCACATGCGAACCCTACCCCTCCCCCTCAGAAATCTGGGGGGTAGGGGCAGGGTTCGCATGTGGTCTCCTAGGGGCTCCCCTGCCGCGCAGCCGGCGCCGCGGACAGGAGGCCTGCCTTGCTGGCGGGTGCCCCTGGGTCTGTGGCGGCTTGCAGGTCGCGGCGGCTCGAGGGCGTGCCTTGGATCGGGAGTCCGCAGAGGGAGATTTATCCCAGGAGGAGGAGGAGGAGGAGGAGGAGGAGGAGGAGGAGGAGGAGGAGGAGGAGGAGGAGGAGGAGGAGGAGGATGAGGAGGAGGAGGGAGGGAGTGGAGGAGGAGGGATGAGGAGGGAGGAGGAGGGAGGAGGAGGGAGGAGGAGGAAGGAGGAGGAGGACGAGGAGGAGGAGGAGGAGGAGGAGGAGGACGAGGTGGAGGAGGAGGAGGAGGACGAGGGGGAGGAGGAGGACACAGCAAACCTCTCACAAGGCCGGAGGCCTTGCGAGAAGCCCCGCCGCCTTCTGCCAAGGCCTGTTCCTTCTCACCTCACTCCACCCCCCTTGTTCGCCGCCGAACTCTGCACACCGGTGAGCGATGCAGAGAAGCTGGGTCGTCTGCGCCGATACTGTCGCGCAAGCTACCGCGGAAGGCCGCTGTGTGATCCTTGGTCAGACCCGTTGTTTCCCGTCGCGCAGGTGGGGTGATGGAACAATCCCCGCCGGATGCTCGGATTGAGGCGTGGGTTTTCTTCACTTCCGCGTCGCACCCGCGTCTCCTCACCTTCCCCTTCCCCTTTCTATATCCCATCAGATGCACTAGCGCTGACAGCACATGCACACACACACAGCACACATACAGCCCGTATACACAGCACACATACACACATACATCTTCCCAGCCGCGTTTCACCCGCGTTCCTCCTCATCTTTGTCCCTCTCCGCCTCGCTCGCACAAACATCAGACATGCGTGCACACATTGGACTTCTGAGTGCTCCTTCTCCTTCTCATCAGCATTCGCGCGCAAGTATACACCTAGCGTGCTCATTGCATCATACACGCTAGACGCATGCAACACATACGCGGCACTCACATCATACACGTACACAAGACACACAGACGAGAACCAAGCCACCCACATGACACGCACACCACACAATCCATACGCGTAGTTTGAACAGGACGCGGCATGCGTGGCACCTCCTCGACACCAGAGAGGGTGCGCAAGGGGTGCGGTCGCTATCCGTTTCGGGCTCGCAAAGGGTGGCAGGCATGGCACTCCCTCGACACCAGAGAGGTGCGCTGGTATACGTTTCGGGCTCGCAAAGCGTGGCAGGCGCGGCACTCTCTCGATGCCACATGGGGATGCGCTGGGGGTGCGGTCGCTGTCCGTTTCGAGCTCGCAAAGTGCGGCAGGCGTGGCAGTTTCTCGACGGTACAGGGGGGGGGGCATGGGGGTGCGGTCGCTATCCGCTTCGGCCTTGCAAAGCGTGGCATGTGTGGCATTCTTTCGACGCCACATAGGGGTGCTTTGGGGGTGCGGTCGCTATCCGTTCCGTGGTCGCCGAGCGTGGCAGGCATGGCACTTTCTCGATGCCACATGGGGGTGCACTGGGGGTGCGGTCGCTATCCCTTTCGAGCTCACAAAGTGTGGCAGGCGTGGCAGTTTGTCGACATTACACAGGGGGCATGGGGGTGCGGTCGCTACCCGCTTCGGGCTTGCAAAGCGTGGCATGTGTGATTTCCTCGACGCCACAAGGGGGTGCGTTGGGGGTGCGGTCGCTGTCCGTTCCGTGCTCACAAAGTGTGGCAGCGTGGCACTTCCTCGACCCCACAGGGGAGTGCGCTGGGGGTGTGGTCGATATCCGTTCCGGGTTCGCAAAATGTGGCAGGCATCGCGTTTTCTCGGCGCCACAGGGAGTGCCCCAGGCTTGCGGTCGCTATTTCGGAGATTTCTCAATGGCGACAGCGCGCGCATGCACCTCATTGCATTGCGCGCGCATGTTGGAGACTTTCCGCCGGGGAGATGGCTAGGCCACCGTAGCGCGCGCGCAGTACCGCGGATCCGCCTGGGAATGAGGAGAACTATTCAACAATTTGTTCTTCCCTCCTCCGTTTCAATCTTTTCTGCTGACGTTCGCTCCTGTTCATCTTCCTCGCCCCTGCTTGAGACTAGGCGCAGCGTCAGTGCTACTGCTCAAGGCCAGTTTCCGCGAACCCGGGCCTTGCGCAATGGAGCAGGGAGTCGGGATGCGCTCTCCCGACACATTGGCAAACGCGGGCCTGCTCGGCGAACGTGCGACGCTCGCTGCTGACCAGATCCATCTGGACATCCGACACCAGGTCTTACAAGGACACACGGGGTCATGTCCGTGTTTGAGTAGCCCACTTCGAAACGTAGAGGTATTGGTGCCGAATTTTTCTGATTAAAGAACCCACTCGGTTGGTGTGACATGTTTTGGATATCATGGAGCGCGTCCGACATCTGCCTCTACGATGAACGAGATCGCGAAGTCCGCTGCGCAATAGATGATGGTAGACGACAGGAACCAGACCCCGCAACGAGCTAGCAAGACAACTGTTGCCAGCCAGCGTAGAGGATGGCGAAGCAGGATGTGACATGGTATGTGAACACACGCGACATAAAATGAATAGTGGGGTTCATCGGTGACCCAATGAATTCCAGCTGCCGTTTAGAGCGATTATCTATATCCCAACGTGTGCCCTACCATACCCTTACGTCCCCCCTGGCCTGTCGTTCCGATTACGAGGTGTGTTGTGTCTGGCACCGGCTGTGGTGTTGAGTTGCTGGCCTTTGCGCTCGCGTTGCACAGAGGCCGCGCGGCCAAGGTCGTGGCAGCCGGGCGGCAGATCCATGTTGCGGCCGTGGGTTTTGCGTCCCTCTTGGGCGTTGATCCCCGCTCAGTGCTCGACGTGATGGGCCCGTGCTGTCCCCGAGCGGTGTCTGCATTGAGGTGGAGTTGGATTCGGGCGGTCCTCGGCGTTCCATGCTCGGCCTCTGCGGCGGATGACGACCACGACGACCACGAATGGATTTGGGGTCCGCTGATCGGCCACGCGCAGAAACGGGGTGGGGGGAGGCCTTCTTAGAAGCACCCCTGCTTCTTGAAAGGCGCGTGCCTTATCTGTAGATGTAAGGCCGGCACCTTCGAAGAAGCAGCCTCCTTCGAAGACGCCCTCCCCCTCCCTCTACCCTTTTGCGCGCGCCGCCAACCAGGCTGAACTGATTTGTTCTGGTCGCATGAGATTTGGGCGGTGGCGGTGCCCCACACGACTTGGCCTCGCACGCCGGGGCCCCGCACAGTAAGGTCTCGCACGGCCGAGTCTCGCTCGGCAGGGTCACGCGCCATAGGGTCGGAAGCTGTTGCTTAGCTTGTCGCGCCGCCGGTTCTGGCCCACCACGCATCGGCACGATACGCTAACCACGCCCCCATTTTCTGGCGTCAAAATCCCGACCCGCGGAGCGGAGCGATACGCTATCAGCTCACAGGGCATGGCGTGTCGCTGGGGCCGCCGCCGCGGCACGCCAAGCAAAAGTTTCTGACCATGGGGTCCCACACGGGAGGACCCCACACAGTAGAGCTCCACAAAACAAGACCCCGCGGGACAGGATCCCACTCGGCAGGGGTCCATACGTCATTGTCCCACACGAGCGAGTCGCACGCGAGACGGTCCCACACGTCGATAGGGTGCCACACGATAGGGTTACTCACGATAGAGTCCCATAGATCGCATCCAGTGTATTGCATTGCCACGTGTGCACAGAGCCATTGCTTGGAGACCACGCCGACATTCCCCAAACTCTGTGTGTGCCCATGGATTTGGAGGTGGTTTCTGGTAAGTTGCCCCTGTGCGGCAGGAAACAGGCATGCTCTCAGCAGTTCTAGCAGTGTTCTCGCTGGGATCCGATCTTTGGACATATCACTGTTGGAGTCTCAAGCAATGGTTTCCCAAAGCAGGGTCCCAGACACTAGGGTGCGAAGGAATAGTGTCCCACAGAATAGGGTCACACATGATAAGGCTCACACTAGAGATATAATCCCACGCGGTGGGGTCCCAAGCGGTAGAGCACCACATGATAGGGTCCCACTCGAAGGTGTCCTGCTGAACAGGGTTTCACACGGCAGTACCTCATACAAGTGGATCTCACACGGTAGAGCCGTACACGATTCGGTCCTATTCAACAGGGTCCCGCACGATAGGGCACCGCATGACAGCCTTGTGATCACCTTCAGTTGCGCATCCGATGTTGGCTCCTGTACACTGCAGCTCATAGGTGTGCATCTCAAGGTATCACAGCGTGCCCACGCTTGGATGCCACGTCCGTGTGACCGTGTGATGCGGAGTGAGCCGATCCTGGGCGCCTGGACCTGTCGGTGGTGCTCCAGGTTCGGAGCCTCCCCCTCCTCCTCCTCCTCCTCCTCCTCCTCCTCCTCCGCCCCCTCCTCCTCCTCCTCCGCCTCCTCCTCCTCCTCCTCCTCCTCCTCCTCCTCCTCCTCCTCCTCCTCCCCCTCCTCCAAAAGTCTAGCGCCCTTCTCCTGGCCTGGCAGGTAGCCTGGCCCTGAACGTCCGGGATTCGCGGACGCTCGGCGCGCCACACGCTGTGGGTCCCACATGGTGGGGCACGTGTCGCTGTTATCTCACACGACAGGCTCCCGCACGATAGCCTCAAGACGAGGAGTGGACTATCTTTGCTATGCTGCTACCCTCCCCCCTCCTCCTGAGTCGGCGCCTGTGGCGAGTGGAGTTGGCTTGGAGGGCCTCGTACAGACTCCTCGGATGCAAGCGATTCTCGCTCGCATCCAAGCACGTGAAATGGCTGCGCAGGCAGCCCAGCAGCAGTAAAGAGTGTCATCTGTCCCGCCTCACGACTTGCAGACAAAACAATCATCACGAAAACCGGAGGAAAGCTAAGAGCACGCCGAACGCAAGCAATGACGGCGCTCAAATGCGAGCCCGAACGAGAGCAGGACGCCCGCTCAAAGAAGAGTTGTTTCTTGGGCACAAGCTGAAGACACGGTGGGAACTTCCAATGCCCATTGCGGGTCATCTCTGGGCCTGTTGGGTTGCGCCTGGGCCAGCGCCAGGCAACGAGTCCCTCCTTGGAAGTTCACATGGGGAAGGCATATTGCCGTAATCAGATGAAGCGCGATTGGGGACTACGCATGACCCTGGGAGATAGGCGGGTTGGCGGGTTCACTCCCCTCGAATGGCAATGCCGACGCAGGAGGAAAAGGAAGCCAGGGAGGGCGAGCAGGGGCAGGAAGGTCTCCAAACATCCCAGACGCCATGCCATCAAGGTAGAGCGGGTGTCGACGGACAGGGTTTGATTGGGCTAGTTTGTGTACCTTTTATTTCTTGTTGGCTTTCATCGAGTCGGTGGGTCGGGGGTGCTGTGTACGTGCATTGCCGTAGGTCCACCTAATGTAGTGTAAATGATGCCCCCCGCTTGCATTGCAGCGGCTCCCTTGATAGAACATTATTGATGTGCGTGTGTATGTAGTCCGATTTCCGGATGCAGAGAATAGCTTGCGGTTGCTTCACGTGTACTGTCTTGCTCTGTTGATTTCATGGTTATGTTGGCTACATGCGTCTCGACTTCAGTTCGCCTACAGCATGTCGCTGGTCTGTTCACTATCGAAGACGAATGCGGCGAATCACCACCGCCCAATACCAAGTTTGCAACGTTTATGTGGCTGTACGGTAGGCCAAAGTCTGGCCGATGCCCAGCCGTTGTGGGAATTTGCGCGGGAACAGTGGAGCGAGGAAAAGGAAGAAAGGGAGGGGGGGAGGAAGAGGAGGTCCCCTGGGGGCCTCCTGGTCCTCTCGTGGCGGCCCCTCGAGGGCCCCCTTGACTCCACGTTGAGGGCTTCCTGGCGCGCCTTGGGTCTCCCTGGGAGGCCTCTTGGACCATCCTGGAGCTCTCTTGGAAATGTCGCGCGCGCGCGACCTCTGGCGTGCGCGCGCGCTCGCGGGGCGCGAGTGCTCGGAGGCCCCCGGGGGGCGCCTTCGTCTGCCAGCGGCCCGAAGGGACGGGAACGCGGAAATCTTGGGAAGCGCGCGGGGCATCAATGAGTTTAGCCCGTTCGGACTCTCTTGGGGGGCCTCGTTGGCCGTCATCCCGGGCCGTCTTGGGGCCGTCTTGGACCATCCCGGGGAAGTACCAGGCCTTCCTGGGGAGGTCTTCGGGTAATTTTGCCTTGTAGGCCCTCTCGGGACCCTCTTGGGGGCTTCTTGGGCCGTATCGGAGCTATCTTTCAGGCCTCTGGGGTTGTCTTTGGTTGTCGGAAGCCCGAAAGGATGGAGAACGCAAAAATCATGAAACAACACATCGGCTAAGCATCGATGTTGGCATCTCTCGGCCTTCCTGGAGGGCGTGTTGGATGCGTCTTGGGGCGTTTTGGGCTCATCTTGAACCGTCTGGGCCGTCTCCAGGTCATCTTGAAGGTATCTTGAGCCGTCTTGGACGTAGAATGGCGGCGTACTGGGCCATCTTGGTCTGACTGGGGACCGCCTTGGAGCCATCTTAGGCGGGAAAGCCCTTGCCTCCCACCGTGTGCGGGTGGCCGGCGGGATCGGATTGCTTTCGAAGGGTTGAACGAAATAAGAGGGTTAGCACGCCAAGCACCCCTCTGCAAGCAGAAGTGGGTGTCGGACAAGCTTGGCCAAGCTATTTGACCATGTGTTCCCCAAGCCGCTGTACAACCCCCAAGGGGGGGAGGACTCTTAGGGAAGGAAGAGGCAGGGGGAGAGGGAGGAGAAGGAGGAGGAGGAGGAGGAAGAAGCGAACTCTTGGGGCCGTCTTGGGGCCACCTGTGGGCTTCCTGGGATGGGAGCTTTATTGGAGCCTCTTGGAAGCCTCATGGTGCCTCTTGGGGGCCTCTGGTGGCCTCTTTGGAGGTCGCTTGGCCTTCAGAGGCCGTTTTGGGGGCCTCTCCGGGCCGTCGTGGGGCCCTCTTCGGGCCCTTCAGGGTCGTCTTGTAGGTCTGTAGGGGTGTATTGAGGGCCTCTTAGGGCCGTCTTGGGGCCCTCTTGGCCCATCTTAGAGCCCTCTCGGGGGCTTCTGGGGCTGCCTTGAGGCTATCTTGGAGGCCTCTGGGACCCTCTTCGGCTGTCGGAAGCCCGCCATGTCGACAACGCGAACATGAGCCTCCTGGGCCGCCTGGAGGGCGTCGTGGAGTCATATTGGGCCATTCTTGCTAGCATCGTCGGCCCTCGTGCCTTCAGAAGAGTCCATGATCCGATGCACGATTTCGATGTCAGTCCTGACTCTATGTTGGGAAGCTCGGGCGAGACGGCGTGCCACATTGCAGCGCGCAAGATCGGAGGCAGCGATTGGGCCGAAAAGTTGAATCGACGGAGGGACGCGGAGGCAGGCAAGGCCGGGAAGAGCCAGGGTGATGAGGAGGGATCTCCGTCATTTCAGCCCAGTGTCATCTTCTTCTCCATCCTCGACGTTATTATTTTTCTTGCCAGTTCGCCTGATCGGCGCCTCGCGAACAGAGCCAGCGCGCTTACGTCGTCTACATTCCCCACATGCCTCGCCATCTACTCTGTAGATTGCTGTCTCGTGTCGTTGCGGCGTCCCTCTGGTTTGGTCGAACACTGAGTAGGAGGGAAAATGGATACCGACGGGACGATTGCTACAATGATAGCTCCGGTTGTAGCGTGAGAACATGCAGGATCCAGAGTGGTAGAAAGAGACAGCTATCGTCTTGACATAGCGTCTTCCCCAGCCATCCAACCGTTCTCCAGGGCATCATCTTCTCCAACATTAACTCCTACGGAGGCGTGTGCTCGATGAGAGATGGCAATGCGTATGCATAGTATGCTTACGACTCGAACCACATTCCAGAACCTGGACATAATCGACACATTCGTTGTGAAAGGGTGATCATGCTGATAATGATGGTGGTGATGGTGGTGGTGATGATGGTTGTGGTGGTGATGATGGTGATGATGCTGATGGTGATAATGATGCAATGTTTTTCTATCCTACGAGACCGTGGCAAACATGGTCGTGAGCCTGAGTTTGTGTGTGTGCATGTATTGAATTCGGATGCGATGCCGAGCTTCTGTGAGCATCGGTTGGCTTATGCTACGCAAGTCCGGGGAAGCGAGGGCACTCAGCAAGACTGTTGCATTTCGACGTGCCGTGTTTGTCACTCGTCGTTTTTTGTATAAATCCGAGCTCAATTGCCGTCGAGGCCTACGGAATTCTTGACGCTTCGCGCCTGCCACGCTTATGCCATCGGGGGGGGGCGGCCACGATGCGGGGTCCCACAATGCTGCCAATGCATTTTTCCGAATGGGTTTAGAAAGACATCAGCTCGGGCCGGACGAAAGGGGTGGATTGGGAAAGGGGGGGTACGAAATTTGCTGCATGCAGCTGCTTTCGGCCTCACCGAGGGGCCCATTCCTCGATACATAGCTGCCTCCGGCGCGGGGAGGCGCCGGGAAAATCAGTTACGTGAGCCGATTTTCACCCCCCCCTTTGCTATCCCCCCCCGTCGCCCGGCCCGATCAGCCCGTCCAGCAACGAGGCCCGGGCAAGCAGGTCAGCCCTGCGCCGTGCTGGCTCCCCGAGGGGGGGGGGTTTTGGGTCGGGGGTGGACAGAACCCCCAACAGTGACGCGTCGATTAGCGAATCGTCCGTTTTCGGTTCTCGAGAGGGCGCCGTGGCCGTTAGTTTCCAGGCTTGCGCCCGCCAGGTTTGGGCCTCAGGTCGTCTTCACTAACCTACGTTTTGCTACAGGGGGGTCTGTCCATCCCCGATTGGGGCTCTGCCGGGCCCTGGCGTGCGGGCGCGCGGCTTCCCGCTCGCCCGCATTTCGGCCCGCGCGCCCGCGCGCTGGGAGGTCCGAGGCGTCTCCCGGGCCCGTCCTGGGCCCCCACGGCTCAAGGAGTGGGGGGTGCACACGTCGGGGGCGGCAAAGAGGGGGGTGATGACTAGTGGGGGGGGATATCATGGCGAAGGCCATGATATTCCCCCAGATTTCGTGGCGCCTCTTCTTATTTCATTACGTCCCTGGCCCCCCCGCTGGGCCGCGCACATGCCGCCGGTCATGATTTGTACACCCCCCCCTCTTGGACACCCTCCTCTTGGCCGCTCCCGAACATGGTTCACTTCTAGTTCTTCGAAAGGTCTTTGATTCTTGGGGGGGCAAGATCCTTTCATGCCTAATCGTTCCATCCTGGGCCTCTTCCTGGCCACTACGGGGGCCAGGAACAATTTGAAGCGAGCGCACTTGGAAATGAGCACGCTTAGAAATGAACGACGTGTAGGTCGTCTTCCCTCCAAGATGGCCTCTTGGGGCCTCTTGGGGGCCTCCCTGGTGGTGCTGGGCGCCTTTTCGGGCTCTCCGGGGGCCATCTTGGGGGAGATCGAGCACACAGAGGGGGGGGAATCAATTCAGGCCTCCACCTCGGAAGCTCCAAGATGGCCTCTTGGGCCGCTCTTGGGCGCTTGTTGTTACCAGCCTGGAACATATCCCTATCCCTATGTTTGACATCACCTCACCTCGATGTCGATCTCAAGGATTCCCTCAGTTTTTGAGGGCCTATCCCTAAGATTGTCCTCGCTGTTTGCTCGCCCATCTGAGGGATAGGGATACGTTCGAGGCTGGTTATGTTGGGCGCTGTTAAGGCCGCCGTTTGTCCGTCTTGGGCCCCTCCTGGGCCTCTATAGGGCTACCATGGAGCCATGATGAGGTTCAAGGAGTTCATCGGATGCGAAAAATCGAGAAGCCAAACAACATGCGTGTTTGTCTTTGGGTGTTGGAAGGAGTTTGGCCTCTCCGGAGGTGTTTCGGGAGGCGAGAGTGGCACTTGGAATCCTCTTGGGGTTGTCTTGGGGCGTCTCGGAGGCTTGCCAGAAGTTATCTTGAGCGATGTTGAGTTATCTTGCGCCACCTTGGATGCCCTCTTGGGCTGTCTTGGCCCTCTTGGAGCCATCAGAGGCCATATTGGGCGATCTGACGGCTCGCTCCGCCCCCCCTCCCAGACCCAGGAGAGGGGGTATGGGGAGGGGTCAAGACGCCCTCCCCGCCCACAAGCCGCCTCGCTCACTCCCACCCGCCCTCCCAACACATACGTCCGAGCTTCTGCATATTCAGTAGTCGTCTTTGGATGGGCAGCAACTGGGGGCCAATCCGCCGCCGCCGCCGCCGCCGCCGCCGCCGCCCGCCGCTGCCCGCCGCTGCCGCCGCCGCGCCGCCGCCGCCGCCGCCGCCGCTGCCGCGCCGTCGCTGCCGAATCGCCGCCCGCCGCCGCCGCCGCCGCCGCCCCCGCTGCCGAATCGCCGCCGCCGCAGCCGCTGCCGCCGCAGCCGCTGCCGCCACTGCTGCCGCCGCCGCCGCCGCCCCCGCCGCCGCCGCCGCCGCCGCCGCTGGCGCCACCGCCGCAGCCGCTGCCCCCGCCGCAGCCGCCGCCGCCGCCAAGTGTACTTTGCATTGGTTTTCGACAGGGATGATGGGGGGAGGCCGCAACGGGTTCGCTGCGCATGCTCCGAATTTGGAGGCAGCATCTGCTTTGTATTTACCTGACAGCGAAGACTGATAGGTTTCTAGTATTGTCAAAAGAGAGCATCTTGACGCCCCAGGGGGGTCTGGGCGCGATCCGGGGGAGGATGCAGGGATTTTTTAGCCAACAGTAACGCACTTCGTGGCCTTCGAGTTCCCAGAATTCAATTCCTGGGCATGACTGTCAATGCCCGGAGCCAACTGTAGGCCACTTCGTGTTCTTCGAGGTCCCAGAACTCCATTCCTGGGCATGATTCTGAATGCCGGGAGCCAACTGTAGGCCACTTCGTGGTCTTCGAGTTCCCAGAACTCCATTCCTGGGCATGATTTTGAATGCCCGGAGCCAACTGTAGGCCACTTCGTGATCTTCGAGTTCCCAGAACTCCACTCTCGGGCATGATTTTGGATGACCGGAGCCAACTGTAGGCCACTTCGTATTCTTCGAGTTCCCAGAACTCCATTCCCGGCCCACATGTTGAATGCTGAGGCAGGCTGATGCTGAGGCTGGGCTGAGGTTGAGGCAGGCTGAGGCCGAGGCTGAAGGCAGACTGAGGCTGAGGCTGAAGCAGGCTGAGGCTGAGGCTGAGGCAGGCTGAGGCTGAGGCTGAGGGTGAGGCTGATGCTGAGGCAGGCTGAGGCTGAGGCTGAGGCTGATGCAGGCTGAGGCTGCGGCAGGCTGAGGCTGAGGCCGAGGCTGAAGGCAGACTGAGGCTGAGGCTGAAGCAGGCTGAGGCTGAGGCTGAGGCTGAGGCAGGCTGAGGCTGAGGCTGAGGCAGGCTGATGCTGAGGCAGGCTGAGGCTGAGGCTGAGGCTGATGCAGGCTGAGGCTGAGGCAGGCCGAGGCCGAGGCCGAGGCTGAAGGCAGACTGAGGCTGAGGCTGAAGCAGGCTGAGGCTGAGGCTGAGGCTGAGGCAGGCTGATGCTGAGGCAGGCTGAGCTGAGGCTGAGGCTGATGCAGGCTGAGGCTGAGGCAGGCTGAGGCTGAGGCCGAGGCTGAAGGCAGACTGAGGCTGAGGCTGAAGCAGGCTGAGGCTGAGGCTGAGGCAGGCTGAGGCTGAGGCTGAGGCAGGCTGATGCTGAGGCAGGCTGAGGCTGAGGCTGAGGCTGATGCAGGCTGAGGCTGAGGCAGGCTGAGGCTGAGGCCGAGGCTGAAGCAGACTGAGGCTGAGGCTGAAGCAGGCTGATGCTGAGGCAGGCTGAGGCTGAGGCCGAGCTCAGGCAGGCTGAGGCTGAAGCAGGCTGAGGCTGAGGCTGAGGCAGGCTGAGGCTGAGGCTGAGGCAGGCTGATGCTGAGCCAGGCTGAGGATGAGGCTGAGGCTCATGCAGGCTGAGGCTGAGGCTGAGGCCGAGGCCGAGGCCGAGGCTGAAGGCAGACTGATGCTGAGGCTGAAGCAGGCTGAGGCTGAGGCTGAGGCAGGCTGAGGCTGAGGCTGAGGCAGGTTGAGGCTGAGGCGAGGATGCAGGCAGATCTGAAGGCTGAGGCTGAGGCAGGCTGAGGCTGAGGCCGAGGCTGAGGCAGGCTGAGGCTGAGGCAGGCTGAGGCTGAGCCCGAGGCTGCAGGCACACTGAGGCTGAGGCTGAAGCAGGCTGAGGCTGAGGCTGAGGCATGCTGAGGCTGAGGCAGGCTGACGCTGAGGCCGAGGCCGACGGCAGACTGAGGCTGCGGCTGAAGCAGGCTGAGGCTGAGGCAGAGGCAGGCTGAGGCTGAGGCTGAGGCAGGCTGATGCTGAGGCAGTCTGAGGCTGAGGCTGAGGCAGGGTGAGGCTGAGGCAGGCTGAGGCTGAGGCTCATCCTTGGCGACTGTCGTTGGCCGCGCCTGCCGCTGCGACTGTCACGCGAATGCGACTACGCAACCCGCGACCCAACCTTCAATCTCCACCGGCACCCCACTACGATCTGCCGAGAAACAGCAGGAATTCTACAACTGGATTCTCCTCTGAAATCTTAAGGGAATTGCTTCCAGATATGCTTGCTTCCAGATATGCGCCTACACATCGCGGTTAGGGCTGCTCTTGTGCCGGGATAATTATTGTTTTTTTACCGGGATGGTGGGGGGGGGCCCTCATGGACTCGGGTTGGCTCCCAGTTGCTTGGGGGAGGGGGTATATTAATAGGGAACAGTGATCAAGACTCCCCCCCCGCCCGCAAGCCGTCTCGTTCACTCCCACCTGCCCTCCCAACACATACGTAGCACCATGGTCTGGCCCGAGCCTTTGCATATTCAGCAGTCGTCAATGGATGGGCAGCTACTGGGGGCCAATCCGCCGCCACCGCCGCCGCCGCCGCCGCTGCCCGCCGCCGCCGCCGCGGCCGCCGCCGCGCCGCCGCCGCCGCTGTCCGCCGCCGTCGCCGCCACCGCGACGCCCGTCGTCGCCGCCGCCGCCGCCGCCGCCCCCGCTGCCGAATCGCCGCCGCCGCAGCCGCTGCCGCCGCAGCCGCTGCCGCCACCGCCGCCGCCGCCGCCGCCACCGCCGCCGCCGCCGTTCCCGCCGCCGCCGCCGCCACCGCCGCCGCCACCGCCGCAGCCGCCGCAGCCGCTGCCCCCGCCGCAGCCGCCGCCGCCGCCAAGTGTATTCAGTATTGTTTGTTGAAAGTTATGGTGGGGGAAGGCCGCATCGGTATCTCTGCGCATGTCCGAATTTGGAGCCAGAGTGTGTGTTTGTATTGTTCTTTACAAGGGATGGTGGGAGGGGCCCGCATTGACCTTGGTTGGCTTCCAGTCGCCTGGGGGAAGGGGTGGTGTTTATTAACAGGGAACAGTGATCAAACCACCCACCCGCCCGCAAGCCGTTTAGCTCACTCCCACCCGCCCTCCCAACACATAAGTAACACCTGAGCCTGAGCATGTTCAGCGGTCGTCTTCGGATGGACAGCTACTGGGACCAAAGCCGGCCCCGGGTGTGCGACGCTTGGGCGAGGTGCGCCACGCGTGCCAGGGGCGCCACGCGCGCCAGGCACCCCTGGGGCCCGAGCGTGCCAGGCACGCCTGGTGCGCCAGATGCGCCACGTATTCCGAGTGCGCCAGGTGTGCCGCACACTCCAGCCGCGCCAGGTGCGCCACGTTCGGGGCACGTGCAGAGTGCGTCAGGTGCGCCTGCGCACGTGACAGCACACATCGGGAAACATGTCGGCCCCCACTATCCTTGTCGCAAAAACCACTGCCCAAAATTGTGTCTGATGGGCCTGCGCACGGCAGGCCACGCGCCACCACCCCCGCCGTCCCTGTCAAAAACCACTTGACAGTGATCGTGGGGTGGCCGCGCATGATCCAGATTTAGCCGCGAGGTACATTTTTGTATTGTTTTTGTTCACGGATTGTAGCCCTGCGCGCAGCAGGGAATATGCTGACACCCCCGCCGTCCCTGACAAAAACAAAACAGAGTGCTCTGCTCGCGGGCCTCACGAACATGACTCAAAACTTTGCCCCAAAGTGATGGATGTTATGTGTGTTTTTGACAGGGGTGGTGGTGGTGGGGGGGGGCGCATCGGGTTGGCCGCGCATGCTCCAAATGTGGTGGCAAAGTGCGTTTTGCATTGTTTTCTTGACAGGTGTGGTGGGAGGAGGGGCGGGCCCGCATGGGGTCGGCATGGTTCGGGTTGGCCGCCGGCCGGGTGGGGGAGGGGGTGATTATATTCATAAGGAACAGTGGTAATTTCTTCCCCCGAGCAGGGGAAGGAGGGGCTGTGGCAGGGAGCTGGGAACAGCCGATTAGGGCTGGTGGGATTTCGATCGTTTCGCGCTTGGCATTGTCGTGATGGGCGAGTTGGAGCCCGCGCTGAGGTTCTAATAAAAACCGCGTCTGATTCTGATCGTGCCGATAAGCCATGAACTGTCTGTTCTTCACCCCTTGTGCGCTTCCTTCGTTTCCTCGCTTTCCTCCCTCAGCATGATCCTCCGCCTCCGCGCCCTCCTCGTCCTCGCTTTCCTCCTTCACTTCCTCGCCACCAATCGCACAGGGCCCCAGCGTGTTGGTTCAACCCGCGAGGCTCCCAGGTTGCCACGCCGACGAGCAGGCCCCCATCATCATCATCATCCAATGTCCTCCCCCTTCCCCTGGTTGGTCCTCTCTCTCTCTCTGTCTCTCTCTCTCTCTCTTCTCCCCTCCAGCCTGCCTTTTAGGCTGTTGGCTGGTTTCTCTGAACTGGACCTCCCAGTCGAGCCTCGGTTCTTCTGGGAGGCGCAATGGTCGCGTTTTTTTGTTTCTCTCTCTCTCTCTCTCTCTTTCTCTCCCTCATGCTTTCTCTATCTCGCTGTTTTTTGTCTCGCTCGCTCTCTCTCTCTCTCTCTCTGTTCTCTCTTCTCCTTCCTGTCATCTTCGCTCCATTTCCTTATCCATGTCTCCTCCTCGTCGTCGTCCTCGTCACTGGCACACTCCGCTCCCGTCACTCTCCACCTGCCTCTCCGAAGCCCAGCTTGCCACACCGCAGATTGAGCCCCGAGCATTCAGATAAAGTCCAATGCCTTGACACAGTCAAAACATTCACTTGTGAACACACGCACACGCACAACGCCGGGCGGGTGGAGGAAGGGAAACATCGGGACCAGGAGGAGGAATGGGGGGCGAGGAGGAGTAGGACAAGAAGAGTAAGCGGGAGGAAATGGGGCGAGGGCGGGAAGAAGGAGCAGGAGGAGGGGAATCGAGATGACGAGGGGAGCAGGAGGGAGAGGTGGACCAGGAGGAGCAGCAGGTGGCTGCGGCGGACTGGCAAGCGGGAGGAGGAGAAGCGGCGCCGGGAAGCGGAGGACGGGCAGGTGGCTCTAAGCTCACCGCGCAGTGTTGCCACCAGGACCCGCGCAGCGGGGCTGGGCCAGTTGCCCGCCTCCCCCGCCAGGTTCAGCAAATAGGTCAGCAGCAGTCCGAGGAAGTGCAACGATGGAGGAAAGCGCGCGGACTAGCGACAGGTTCCGTTTCTATGCAGCATCGGCGCGTTGCGTCGCCAAGTCGGGCAGCGTTGGCCTCGTGTTCTCGGAGGCTGCCAGCCAGCCAGGTTCAGCAGATAGAGCAGAAACCTATGCCACCCGCGGGGCGCGAAGGTAATCGCTCTTCGCGCATCGTGGTCTAGGCCAGAGTGGTTACTCTAGCAGATGAAGCGGTAAGGGCATCAGGAGGTACGGTAGGAGACAATTGTCTTCAAGCGCCAGAGGTCAGGATGACGTAAGTTCACAGTTCCCTCGATGTACTCCAGTACGTGACAAGGATGCCATGGTGTCTTGTAGCTGTCTCCGTCGCATCGCCCTTTCCTTTCCCTTTCTCCCCCTCGTCCTCCTCAGTGATGGCGCCTCGTCGTTATAAACGGAGTCACATGGCGACGGGTGGTCCTGCAATTGCGCCTCTAAGGCGCCATCATGGTCTGTGACCGAACGGAGAGGCAAGAAGAGGAAAGAAGAGGGGGAGGAGGTGGAGGAGAAGGTGAACGAGAAGGAAACGATGGAGGAGCGGGGACGGACAGGAGGAGGAGGAGGAGGTGGAGGAGAAGGAGGAGAGGGAGGAGGAGGAGGAGGAGGAGGAGGAGGAGGAGAGGAGGGAGGAGGATAGGGAAGGAGTAGCGGAGGATGCGCGAAGGAGGAGGAGGAAGCAACGGCTGAAAGAGAAGGAGAGGAAGATAACGAGGACGACAGTAAGACCAGCGTGGGTAGGAGGAGAAGGGCGGAGAGGAGAGGAGGAGCATGAGCAGGAAGCAGGAGCAGGAGGACGGTGGGAGGAGGAGGAGGAGGAGGAGGAGGAGGAGGAGGAGGAGCAGGAGGAGGAACAGCAGGAGGAGGAGGAGTAGGAGAGGAGAAGGAAGGAGGAGGAGGAGGAGGAGGAGGAGGAGAGGGAGGAGTAGGAGTAGGAGGGGGTTGAGGAAGAGGAGAAGGAGGAGGAGGAAGGCTGCCCTCCTTCTACCAGCCCGCGTCCTGCAGCGCCTGCCAGCTTACCTCCACAGCTAGCTAAGTAGTATGGCCAGAATGCCTCTTCGGATCCTCGTCGTCCTCGTGCTGGCCAGCCCCCTGCTTCACATATATCACGAGTCCCTACGCTCCTTCTCCTCGGCTTGTAGCCTTTCCTCGTCGGCCTTCGCCTCCTCGTGTTCGGCCACCACCGCCTCCTCTTCGGCATTCCCCTCCTCCTCCTCCTCCTCCCTCTCCTCCTCAGCGAACCTCAGCTGACTTCAGCGGACCTCAGGCACGCTTGATCAAACTAGGCGCAGCCGACCCCTCCTCCTCTTCCTCCTCCTCGAACTCCCGCGTTTGTCATGATGTGTTTCGTTTGCAGGCTTGCAGAGCTGCAGTCGAGAGAGTGGTCATGGCGCGGCCAGCTGCTTTGCGATCTCTTGTCGTTCGGCTCGCCATGCGAACGGCGAGCATCGAAACATGTGGATATCGTGCGAGTAAGTCGAGAGAGTGATTGCGGATCGGCGCCGCACGGTCATTTTCATGCTCATGCTCGGCATCCGTCGGTCTCCTCGCCAGCTTCCACCACTCCTTTCCCGTCGGATTCCTATCCCTTGCACGGGCTTCCCAGGAGCTGGCCCCCTATCCCGACCACCTCGGGGGGCCTTATTCGGGACGACGTGGGCGCGGTCCGTTGCGCATATCCCTCGTCGTCTCTGCCTTCGGCGTCCTCCTCCTCCCGCTCGCCCTCGTCCTGTTCCTCCTCCCTCTACTCATTCTCCTCGTCTTCCTTCCCTTCCTCCTCAACGCCCTCCGCCCATTCCTTGTCCTTCGCCCTGTCCTCCTCCCTCTCCTCTTTCTCCTCGTCTTCCTTCCCTTCCTCCTCAGCGCCCTCCGCCCATTCCTCGTCCTCCGCCCTGTGGCTGGCGGTGAGGATGGCAAGTTGGACGTGGTTCTCATCAGAGGGCCATTTGGTCCATCTGCACCGCCCAGCTCGATGTGCCTATACTGCGTTTCTGGGCGTTCTTCTCCCGAGCGGGAGGGGGACTAGCACGATGGGAATGAGCAGTGCGATGATGTGGAGGGGGGGAAGGCCCGAGGAGGATGAGCACGACGACAAGGAGAACGGTTTAGGAGAGGGAGAGTATTCAGCAGCTGAAGGGTACCCACGAAGAGTCCACACCTTGCCTGACAGTCCCGAGCACGAGCACTTGTAAGGTTGGGGGGCTAGCTCTGAGTCGCCGGCTTGGGTTTAATTCTGAATGTGTTGCGGAGCCCATTGCATTCCTGTTTTTTTTTCATCGTCGCTCGATTTCCCAGGTTCAGTTGTTAGCCCCATCGAGAGCATAGATCGAAACAGAAGGGTAGGATGTGCGACACCAGCGCTGCGACTGAATGCATGAGCAGCAGGACAAAAAAGAAGAAAGCAGTCCTCGCTGCTCGCTTCTCCGATGTTAAAGACATGATACAGGGTTCTGCGAGTGCATCGGCCTTACGCTCCGATGTGGCTTCAGCATTGAATGAAGGGGGCGCACCAGTTTCCTAATTCCAGTGCTCCCACTTTCCATGTGTCGTTTCGACGTCTCCTCTTACCTCCTCGTGTTCGAATGCATTTGTGCCAAGGTTGCTCGCTCTTCTACTCAGCACACGAATGGCGTCTCCCCTTTGCTGTGCCTCCTGCGTAGACCGTTCACATGATGTCATTCAGAGCGGATGTGGGCGACAAGCTTGACCGAACACCGTCAAGTCTGATCCAGAACTTGCGAAAGAGGCAGAACAGAAGGAAGTTGCCATGGCCACCTGTCCCTCCGGCCTTGGACTTTGGGTATACGGCGCTATCTGAGTGGGCACCGACCGTTCTTTTCCAGGACAACCCCAGCTCGTCAGCATCCACATCCTCCTCGCTTCCCTCGTAGATCGTCAGGGGGGGAACATTTCTTGACCTGGAATCGGACATCGTCGTCGCCCTCGCCCTCACGACACGCTGCCGTCGCTGCCCCCCCCCTGAACAGCAGCAGGCCAACCACACCCGTTTCGGTGGGGTACGCAGCGATCCAACTCAAAACCTCAGGCCATCAGCGCCTCGCGAAGGCAGGAGGCTTGCGTTTCATCGGTATGGCCGGATCACATGAGTTCGTGCTTGCTCGTGCTACGGTCCCGCGGCCGCCAGGTGGCGTCCCGCATTTGGCGTTGGTGAAGCTTGGGTTGGCGCGAGGCCACAAACTCTGCCAGGCTTCGACAGTGCCAGCGCGGCCAGGGGGTACTCATGGCGGCATATCTTGGATTTGCCTCTCTCCCCGTCATAATTCATACAATTGTGTTGCGTGCTCTGCAGTTGGTGGTCCTCCTGCTCCTCCTCCTCTTCCTCCTCCTGCATCTCCCAAGGCATGTCGGTTCAGGCCTGGGGTGTGCTTCGGTCGGAGTAGAAGCTGCAGTGGCATGCATGTTCGGCTTTGTGTGCATGTGCGAGTTTCTCAGCGCAAATGCATGCGGTTGATTACGCATCCGTGTGAAGGCAGACGTTCTTTCTCTCTCTCTCTCTCTCTCTGTCTTTCTCTGGTATGCGTACGTGTACGTGTACGAATGCATGTGCTCTTGTATTTGTACATGTCAGTACGCGCGTATGTGCCAATAGGCCCGCGCCAGCACAGTTGCACACGCACTGGTCTGGGTGTATGCGCTGGACGTGACAGCGCAAGCACGTATCGGAATTAGTGCACGCATATGTTCATGATGATGCGGCATGCGAAGAAGCATGCTCCTCCTCCCTCTCCTTCCCCTCTTTCTGGTCCTCATGTTCCTCATCCCCCTCATCCTCATCCTCCCCTTCCCCTCCCCCTCCTCCTGATGTGCACGGGCCTCCGTCCCTGTCTTGCTGTGCGCGCGCCACCGTCGCCAGACCACCAGTCTCATGTCCGAGCCAGGGGTGCTGTTATGAATGAGCCCGGCACGACCACACTCGGAGCTCCCACGCCTCTTCCCTCTTGGTCCTCCCTCTCCCCAATCCTCTTCCGACGACGCTGACGACGACCAACGAATACACGTACCCGCCAGTCCTATGGGGGCCGGCGGATACGAACACACGTTGGTGCGGGCGACCCCGTGTTTATTCATCTCCTGTCCGTCCGAACTAATCCCCAGGCTGCCGTTACAGATCGAGACGGGGTTCCCTCCGCGCTTGCCGTGCTGCCCTGCCCTCGCCAGGCCAAGACGGTGGAGCTCACGAACAGGACGGCGATGCCCATCCAGGCTTGGATGGGGACGGCACAGCACTTGATCGCATTACCGGCAGCATCACAGCACGGGTCCCCCAGCCGGTGCATCACATCACAGCACGGGTCCCCCAGCATGTTGGGTATAGCCAGGACCCCAGGCAAGGAGGGCCCTGGGGCCCCTAAATTGGCCAGAATCACTAAACCAGGTCTGCCTTAGCTTGTGTTTTTCGGGTGACGGCAGTTCCAGCTAGTGAAACGGGGCGGGGGGGCGCCCCCAAATACTCTCACTAAACCAGGTCCCACTAAACCCAGCTCTGCCAACGCCTGATTATGGCCGGGCACGCCCTTAGTGGGCCATGGAAACGACAGGGCCGCTTTTGTTACCGGTCCCGTTTTGCCGTTTTGTGGCCAGTTCGGGCGCCGTTGTTTTTTTTGGTTCCGCCACCGTCTGTTTGCCAGTTCTGGTTCCAGTTCCAATTCGGAGCCATTGTTTCGTGATTTTCGGTTGCCCTTTTTTTAACCGTTTAACCGCGATTTCCGTTGTCAAGAGACACTGTTTCGGAAACGATGGAAAATCGGCCCTGCCGTTTTCTGGGCCCATGGAGGGCACGCTGGTGTTCCGCATGTGTACCCAGCGCCGTGGCTTCCCACAGATTCATCCAGCCATGCGTTTCCAGCTTCTTGGTAGGAGCATGCAGTGAAACAGAGAGGGAAGACAGTCGCCCGTCACATGTGCCCTCCCCGTCCTTATCTTGTGCGGCAAGCTGAATGGCCTCCCGTAGGTCCGCCGCAAAGGTTCGCATGATCGATGAATCAGTTCTGCGTGGCAAATGGAAGGCGGTAAGAACCACAATTCAACTAAAGGCATGTCGCTTATTCGGGAAAGTGTAGAACTTCCTTTGGGCGTTTTGGGTGGCCCTCGGAGCTCTCGAAGGCTCGCTTGGAGGCCGTCGGGTCCATCATGAGCTTATCCAGGAGACAATCGATAAAAGATGTGTCGTAAATTATCCTCTCCCCTCGGAGCCTGAAGAGACCTCTTGGAGCATTCTTGGGACGCACGTAGCAGAAGCCCATCAGAAGCGGAAGTGCGAGACACTCACACAAATGAACGAATGAATCCACATTGTTCCCAACCCTCCTGTTTTGAGTTCTCATGTTACATTGAGCACAAAGGTCTCCACTCCTTCCGTATTTCCTTCGCACCTCCGCCTCCTCCTCTTTTTCCCAACCATCCTGTGGTGTTGGGTCCTCGTTTTGAAGAGACGGTGCCCGCGTCCTCTCCTCTCCTCTCCTCTCCTCCTCTTCCCCCTCCTCCCTCCTCCTCTGCCTCTGCTTCGGCACACCTCTCACGCGTTCGTAGCCCCCATAGGAGCTCCACCGAAGGCCCAGTGGGGGTGTCCACATGGCGGTTCCCCGCTGGGGGCAGCGCTTCTCGTCTGGCCCCACATTAGGAAGCTCCACCGAAGGCCCCAGTGGGGGTGTCCACATGCGGTTTCCCCACCCAGGGCAGCGTTTCGTGGCCCCATAGGGAGCTCCACCGAAGGCCCGGGGTGTCCACATGCGGTTCCCCAACCCAGGGCAGCGTTTCGTGGCCCCATAGGGAGCTCCACCGAAGGCCCCAGTGGGGGTGTTCGCATGCGGTTCCCCCACCCAGGGCAGCGTTTCGTTGGCCCCATAGGGAGCTCCACCGAAGGCCCCAGTGGGGGTGTTCGCATGCGGTTCCCCCACCCAGGGCAGCGTTTCGTGGCCCCATAGGGAGCTCCACCGAAGGCCCCCGTGGGGGTGTCCACATGCGGTTCCCCCACCCAGGGCAGCGTTTCGTAGCCCCAGAGGGAGCTCCACCGAAGGCCCCAGTGGGGGTGTCCACATGCGGTTCCCCCACCCAGGGCAGCGTTTCGTAGCCCCAGAGGGAGCTCCACCGAAGGCCCCAGTTGGGGTGTCCACATGCGGTTCCCCCACCCAGGGCAGCGTTTCGTGGCCCCATAGGGAGCTCCACCGAAGGCCCCAGTGGGGGTGTCCACATGCGGTTCCCCCACACAGGGCAGCGTTTCGTGGCCCCATAGGGAGCTCCACCGAAGGCCCCAGTGGGGGTGTCCACATGCGGTTCCCCCACCCAGGGCAGCGTTTCGTGGCCCCATAGGGAGCTCCACCGAAGGCCCCAGTGGGGGTGTCCACATGCGGTTCCCCCACCCAGGGCGGCGTTT